AACATATTTAAAATCTTTTTTATAATTGTAAAAATCCAAAAGCATGATCTTTTAGATCATATAATTCTATTGGTATTAAATTTTTATTTAATAATTTTTTGTAGTAGATGTTGGGAAGTATATAAAGAAGTAATATTATGTATATAGGTTATTTTCTATTAATATTGACATAAAAATTATAACAAATTACCATTGGCATTTTTTAGTGATGTCTTTTATTGGTAATATTAAATACCTATAGCAGAAACTCTTAAAAGTTCTTTTTATATTTTTAATAATTATTATGTAAAAAACTTTTATAGTTCTATTTGATATCACATAAATAGTTTTAATACTACTTAATAAATAATTTATCAAGCAAAAATAATTGATCAAACACATAGTAAAAATTCTTTTGTTGAGGTATTTTCAAAAGTTATAATATTATTTATGAAAGAAGAAATTAGAATTTTTAAAAAAAAAATCTGCAATTTTCCTTTTAGATTTATTTTAAAATGTTTGAAAAAATCATGAATGCATAACAAAAAAAAAGTTAAAAAATATTGGCAATATAATTTGTCAACTTTTGGTAAAATTATGAATAAAAAGATCCTTCTAATAGATTAGAATTCATCTGTTTTATCAAAATTAGATAGATTGTATGACTGGAATAAATACATTTTATTATCAAAGATATTAGGTAATATTTTATCATGTGGTTATAGTTATCATACTGAATGTTTTAATCAAACAAATGAAAAATGTTTATATTACTATAAATACTTTTACAATGATATTAAAGATAATTATAAAATATTTCAGAATATGTTAAATAAGAAATCAGATAATGATAAAGATCATAATGAAAATTTGAAAGATTAAACAAATTTATAAGATAATAATAATAATATGCTTATTTTTGTTAAGAAAAATATAAATAGGAAATTAGAAAAAGCATTAGAATTATTTAAATTATTTCATAATATGATTAGTATCAATTAATATTAATTAATTATTCTGTTTTATAATTTATTTTCTTTAAGTGATACTAATATTTTTGTATCATACACATATAATCAAGTGATTATCATGCTATCTCTTAGCATTATTTTATTAATACATTTTATCATAAAATTAAGCTCACTTTAGATATTCTATTGGTCTCTTTTTCTAATTTAAATTTAATTAATTTATTTATTTAACGTTAATATTTATTTAATTTTATTAATTTTATAATAGTTATCTATAACAAATATAATCATTATATTAATTGATTGAAATTTTTAAACAATAATAATTTGATTTAAATAAAATTATAAATATATAATAAAAAATATATAAAATCTTTTAAATTAGTATAAAAAACTAATAAATAAATATTTTTACATAATGTGATAAATTCAAAAGTCTGCTATGCTTTTGTATATCAAATAATAAAGTAATTTATTAATACATTTTGTTTATATTCTTTAGTTTAATTTTATATTATAAATTTTACATTTATAAAAATTAAGAAATGACAAGATTTCTAATTCAATATAAAAAAGAAAATCCAAATTGAATATAATATACATTAGGGCTTCTGTTTGAAAATATTATATTTGAATATTTGTTTATAAATAAATAAAATTCAAATATTCAAAAATAAATTAATATTTACATATCAAAATTAATTTTGAATATCAGATTTTAAATATCAAAATCAATTAATTTTGATTAATTATTTATTTTTATTATAATTTAATATTTTTTTTCACATTTTCTTCTTTCTTTAGTTTTTAGTTTTTTTGATATATATTTTTTCTTTATTTATTTTTATTTTTATTTTTTACATCAATCAATTCTTTTTTATTTTATTTTATTTTAATTTTTTTTTCTTTTTTTTGTATTCATCTTTTCTTTTTTTGTAATTTTTTTTTTATATATATTCTTTTAAAAATGATTTTTGATATTTAAAATTATTTTAATAATCATTTGAAATTATTTTTAAAACTTTCATATATTTGAAAGAAATAACTATACATAACTAAAAGTATTAAGTACCTGGGTTTTATATTCTGTGATTTAACTCATGATTTAATTATATTACATGACTTAAATATAAACTATTTAATTTTTTTATTATTATTCAATATAAACATTTTCTTTTTTATTATCGTTATCTCTTCACTAACTATAATGAGTGTAAAAATAAACAGCCTACTTAACATATTGACTGATAAAAAAAATTATTCTAATGATTCTAAAAGTGAAACTGAAAATTCACGCGTTATATTAAAAATAAATATAAAATTTAAAACTTAAGAAGACTTTGAAACTTATTTAGATCAATATGCATTGTAAGAAGGGTTTTCATATAAAAAATAAGTGTTAAATATCATTTGAGTCAAAATGAAATGAAAAATATGTTAATAGAAGAAAAAAAGCAATATATTAAGCAAAGAATACTTTCATTCTTACCATTATTAATTAAAAAAGTGATTAATCTTAAAAATCAAAAAAATAGAGAATTTTATCAAATTGATTGACTTTAACGTATTAATATAATGAAGCTAAAAAAGAAAATTCTATTATTATAACTTCTATTAATCTTGAACACAATCACAATGTGAATCTATTGATCAGAGAAATGCTTTTAAAATTTAGAAAATTTATACAACCAATATTTAATGATATCAAATTTTATGTGAAGCATGAAACAACTAGTACAAAATCAATATTTCTATTATTACACGTAAAATATCTAGACCACCTGATTTGTAAAAAAGATTTATATAATGTCATACAGAAAGTTAAAGTAAGATAAAAAAGTACTATTAAAAAAGTGCAATTAATCTAATATATCTAATATCAAGACATAATTTATGTATCTTTTATATTGATCTTAATCTTAAAAAGAATTTGAGACCTAAACTTGGAATACAAAAGTTCAATAAATTTTGTTCACTCTTTTTTTATATTGAAACAGTCTTATTATTAACTTTTTTGATATATAGTAAAAAGTATTAATTGAGAAATACCTAGAAGCAGAAAAATATTTAAAACGAATGCTTGAATTAACTAAGAAAATTTAGGTAATTTACTATATAAATAAAGTTTTTAATGGTGAAGTAAATAATACTCAATGAATTGAATCATTTAATCGATTATTGAAAAATGTTGTTCAAAGGAATTTTCTTTTATATCAGCTTACTCAAGAAATTTAAAATGTGTTTAATAATGAAGTAAAATATAAATGTATAACTCAAATGCATAATACTCTACTTCAACAAAGTTTAGATAATATACCTTCAAAATTTTTCAAAAATATTAATAGTATTTATAAAGATTTCTTAATACTACATATTCTTGTAACAATTCAAAATCAAATGAAATAATCTTTTTTTTACAAAGCATATTTAATTAAATAACAATATAAAAAATAGGTATGTATTATTAATTAGAATTAGAAATAGGATGAGAATTAGAATAAGGTTAGGATAAATTAGAATTAGGATTAGAGTTAAGATAAGAGGATTAGGATTAAGATTAAGGTGAGAATTAGGTAAGGAAATTAGGATTAGAATTAAGATAAGAATTAGAATTGAAATTAAAAAGCATAGAATAATAGTTAACTAGAGTTAGGGCTGATACTAATTTCAAATTCTTTTAGTATTTGATAAGAAATAATTATTAATATTGAGAAGATAATTATGATGCAATATATATTTTATTTTGATATATGATAAAAAAGTATAAGGATCTTTAATTATTGAAATTTGACAAGTTAAACCTGAACTATTTTAACAAAATCTCATTTTATTATTTTATTAGCCTAGTATTATTTGAAATTCCTTGTAGATATTTTTTCAAAATTCTTAGAAAAAGCTCATAGATAAAATTTCATATTATATTAATAAATCAACACTGATATCAGGATGCAAAATTGAATGTCACTAGTAATGATTTAGTTTTATTAGATACAATATCACTTATTAAGAATGATCATACTGAAGCTGTTTATAATGAAATTAATTTCAAATATATTAATCAGATCCATGAAAAGCAAGTATATACAGAAGAACTTCAAAGTATTGTTTTGGCTAAAGCAAAATATGGAAGGTCTTTGAGGCTTGCAAGAAAAGTATTAGATTTATCTTAGAAGCTTGACTGTTTTAATGAAGTGAATAGAATATTTCAAAATTTTAATGAAGATAAATAGCAAGAATTATTTCAAAAGTACAATAAGGAAAATAATACTTGGTAAATAACAGATGAAAACAACACTAATGGAATTGAGCACAAAATTGGTTATTCTAATTCTATTACTTCAAGATGTTGTGTATGACCTCCAAATCGCTATTTAAGTGAAGGTGAGACTGCAAAATGAAATAAAAAAGTAAAAATGAATTTAAGATCAGAAGATGACTTAAAAAATAAAGAGATAGATGGAAATAATAAGAAACAAAGAAGGTGTAAGGGATGTCAAGAAACAGGTCATGACTTGCGTAATTGTAAAAGTAAAGCTCTTAGCGAAAGAAATTGAAATGTAATTATAGTTCGAAAATGATATTAGTAATTTAATAAACTAAATAATATTCAATCACGTGATCTAAGCAGCGGTGATCATCACCTACAGTGATAATCATATGAAATACATGATGTTCATTACTAGTAAATTGATAATATTATTAAATTTAAATATATTATAAACCGGTGGAATAATAACCATCGATGTATATATAATACCGATTGGGATAATTTTGTTTTGACAATATTTGGTATAAATATTTCCTTTCCGAGATCTACGTTATTAAAATTTTTAGATCGCAATCATTAAACGGGCCGACTATTTTACCAAAAGTTTCGGTTCATCCGATTACTGATTTGTTTAATAAAAAAAGTTCATTACTTGATTACGGCACATTGGGCAGATTATTCTTCCGGAACATTCAATGTTTAAAAAAAAAGTATAAATAAGACAAATTCTTTATTATTTACGCATAATATATTGTATCCCCTTTTTTGACGGATATATCAAAATGAATGACTTTTTTAATTTAGCCGTAAAAAAAGCTCCAATGTTAATTTCTACAACGATAAATCATTATCGCAAGGGCCCACCTCAACCTTCATGGGATTTAAAATTTCATTTAGTTTTTGCCTTGATTAAATCAAACATCGGTGATTTCACTAATCAAACAATTGAGCAGGCACAACAAGACTCTAAACGTCACGCTCCTTTATTACCCGATACAATTACAAATGAGTCCAAGGTAGACAATAAATATAGACATGAATCTCAAATTCATCTTGAGAGAATTTTGAAACCCTATGAA